AAGGATGAGAGTAAAATAATTTATTAGGAAGAAAATACCCAAGCTATAAATTCAGACAATGTAGCTCTAGAATCTATACTGTTGACTACTATGGTCTATCATCTCCTAGTCTTACTGCTCTATTGTCTCTATAACCAATGACCCTGTCTAAATGAGCGATAGCAAAGTAGGGTGGTAAAACAGCAGATTGTGAATTCTAGGTAGGTTCATGAGTTCTAGTAATTAAGTCCCATGAAATGAGAATTGAAAGTGAAAATATAAAATAGTTCCATAAATACTCTGGTGGTTACTGATAAAGTAATGTAAGCTAACTGCTAAGACCCATGATTAGCCTACAAGTGTTTAAATGGAAAATGTCCTAATAGCTTTAGAAAAATTGCAGATCAAGCTAAGATGGTGCTGATTTGTGGAGGTGAACACACAAATAAATATACAGGAACTGTGATGGTAAAGGACTGTGAGAATCTTCATATACTGAAGAAGGTATGGATTGGGATGAAAATCCAGGTAGCTAGGCCAAACTGATGAGCCAAGAGAAACTTTAGGGTCACTATGGAAGACAGTGTGGTCACCTGTGTCCTCACCATAAATTTTGATAATTTCTAATCTCTAGCCTATAATCAAAAGAGCCACTGAAAAGTATGTTTTGCTCGTATTTCTAGAGAAGCTTCCTTAAAACCACCATCCTAAACTTTCTCGAAAACTAAGCAAATTCCTAGTAAAGTTGCTCTGTTTATAGAGTATCTAATTTACTTTTTTACAAAAAGGATACATGATACATTCCTAAACAACACAGTTCACAACATACACTTACCTTTTTCTGCTTGGCTCAAAACAGTCACTGTGAGGGAGGGATGGAGGGAGGGAGGGAGATGGATGGATGGAGGGAGGGAGGGAGAGAGAGAGGAGAAAGGAGAGCGATCAAAATTAGTGATATTTTCAAATGTTTGTTGTAGTTCATTTTTCCACGGCATCATTTATGAACAATGACATTTTAGGAAACCATCAGCATAAGATGGGGGAAGACAAAGGTGATTCAGTTTCATCAGTTGCTATCTTCCCTCATCTTAAATCTTCCAGTAAATGAAAATGAATGAACAGGCGAGATGGCTCAGTGGGTAAAGATGCTTGCTGCCCAGCCTTGATGACCTGAGTTTGATCTTCAGGGACCCACATGGTGGAAGGAGAGAACTGACTACTACACATCTATGGCATGCATGAGGATGCATATACACACACTGTGTAATGAAAAAGAATTACCAGTCATATAAAAAGTACAGAAATAACCTGATTTCTAATGACCCAACAAATAGAAACATATAAAAGATATATAACATGGCATTAACAACTTAAAAGCCTATAAATTAGGAGGTTATTACAGATGTCCATTGACTGATGTTGGACTTATGTCCCAATCAACCCATTGCTAAACTGAAAATATCATTAAATTGAAAATGCTGAGTTGGGCATATAACTCATTTGGTAGACTGTTTACATAGCATCCTTTCATTTCAAAGCAGAACATAAAACTGGGTGTGTTGATGCATGCAAGTAATCCCAGAATGTGGGATGTGGTTGCTGGAGGAGTGGAAGTTCAGGTCATCCTCCAGTACATAGGAGTTCAAGTCCAGAAGAAAAAAAAAGGAGAAGGAAAAGAAAACGCTTGTAATATATCTAACTTACTGAACTTCATAGTTTACTTGACCTACCTTACATAAGCTGAGTGCTTAGGTTAACCTAACATTGGGCAAATGTCTCCTAACAAAACGTCTGTTTATAATAGCATGCTATCTCCTGTGATTTACTGAATACTGTACTGAAAATGAAAATTGGAAATGACTGCTGGGTGTGGTAGGCCATGCCTTCAATTTCAGCACTCAGGAGGCAGAGGCAGGCAGATAGATCCCTTTGAGATTGAGGCCAGCCTGGTCTACATAGTGAGTTCCAGACCAGCTAGGCCTAGAAGCTAAAACATGGAAATAATTGTATTGATATGCTTTCACACCACTGGAACATTGAAAAAAATCTTGTCAGACTATCTTGCAAAGTATTCACTCTATGATATATTTGAATAACAATTATCTTTTATATATTTGGAAGTAATATAGTGTTGATATTGCATGCTAGCTCTGAAGACACATTGGTTTAGAAGCTCAGTTCCATTAATTTGTGATCCTTGGCAAGGTACTGAACTTCTTCAACATTAACTTTTTTTTTTTTTTCGGTCTTTTTGAGACAGGGTCTCCCTGTAGCCCCAGCTGTCCTGGAACTCACTATGTAGACCAGGCTGGCCTTGAACTCACAGAGATCTGCCTGTGTCTGCCTCCCAAGTGCTGGGATTAAAGTCATGTGCCACCACGTCCGGCTTCAACATTAACTCTTAAACTTACTTGAGGATTAAATGAGTTAATACACAATAAATGCTACTTAGCATAATATCTAGCACAAGGTAAATCATTAGTGTTTATTATTACTATTTCTAAACTAAGAGTTTAGAGAACTATGATTTTTGTCTTAAGTCCATAATTTTTATTTATATGATTTATTACATTTATTGACTTATGTCTATTGCACCATACATGCATCTCCAGTATAAAGCCAACCCGACTGTGGTATATGATCTTTTTGATATATGCCTATATTCAGTTTGCAAGTACTTTGTTGAGAAATTTTGCATGTATGTTTGTCATACATGCATGTATGCATCTATCTGGCTTAGGTATTAGAGCAATACTGGCTTTGTGGAAGGAGTTTGGAAATGCATCTTATGCTGCTCTTTTTAAAAAATAATTTGAGTAGGAATGGTTTTGCTTCTTCTTTGAAAGTCTAGTAGACCTGAGCCTTTTTTTTACTATTTTATTTATTTATTTTTATTTTATGTGTATGAGTGCATTGCTTGCATATATGTCTTATTGCTCTTGCAAGAGTTTCAAGCACTATATTAAAAAGGAGTGGAGATAGTGGACACCCTTTTCTGGTTCCCGATTTTAATGGGAATGCTTCCAGTTTTCTTCCATTCATAATGATGTTGGTTGTGGGTTTGTTGCTGTATATAGCTTTAATTATGTTGAGGTATGTTCCCTCCAGTCCAATTCCCTCTAGGACTCTGAACATAAGTGCATGTTGAATTTTGTCAAAGGTCTTCTCTGCATCTATTGAGATGACCATGTGGTTCTTGTCTTTGAGTCCATTTAAAATGATTTATGACGTTTACTGACTTACATATATTGAACCATCCCTACTTCTCTGGAATAAAGCCAACTTGACCATTTGATTTTTTGTTATTACTACTTTTTGAAACACGGTCTCCCTGTGGCCCCAGTTGGCCTGGAACTTGCTATGTACACTGGGCTGGCCTCCATCTCACAGAGATCTGCCTGCCTTAGCCTCCTGAGTGCTGGGTTTAAAGGTGTGCATGACCATACCTGGCTTACCATTTGATTTTTTTTTAAATCTCAAAATGGATACTGCTGTCAAGAAAACCAGTGGCAGACAATTCTAGTTCCATCCTTACTTGAGTGCAATTAATAAATTGACAAAAACTCTCAGAACCAACTTTTGTAGAATTCTGAAATCTAGTAAAAATCACTGCTGCAGGGAAGGAGCTGTTGCTCTTTAGTTTAAAAAAGCTATGATTTTAAACTGGGTGCCTTCTGTCTTCTACATCCCAGATCAAGGGCTATGAGGATAACATCCTATATTCCTAAGTGAATTGTGAGTATCTGTAAGCAATACAGATCTTATTCTCAAACGTTACTGTAGTTGTGAGCCTCTACAATTGGGTGGTTCCCTTTAGAACAATGCAAAGGTACCCTATGTTTTATCTAAGAATATTCTTTGGGCTGAGACAGCTTCCTGGATAGCATTGCTTGAAGCATTTAAAGACCCATATAATGAGCACATCAGCCTTGGGAAAGAGACATCATTTGTCAAGAGAGACAGACTTTGGTCTTTCTGATGCCTTGTTAAGAGGGTGACAAGACGACAGGTGGAAGAATAAGGACATTAAGGGCTACAATGTGTATCACAGAACTGAAAGGGTGAGTAGATACCCAAAATGGGATGCCAGCTACAAAATGGCTGGAGAAAACTCTAAGCTTTGACCTCTAGCACTAATCAGGAATTGAAAAACAGGAACTGAAGGCTAAGGCACAGCCTGGTTAAGGATTGAAGGAACATTCCAACACGGAGCCAATCTGCAAAGATTGAGAGATTATACTTTCCCACATGTTTATTTTACTCCAGGCATCCATGATATCTTTGCTGAACCACTAGCTGAAAACATATTTAATGAACACAGACTTCAGAGAGCATGTGTGACAAGAACTTAGTTTTTCAAATTTAGGTTAGAAAAGTTCCTAAAGAAGCCAGCAACTCATCAGGCAACAACAAATCTCAGAGAAGGATTAGAACCCAATTTCCAGAGATGCCATCAACAGATGAACAGACACCAAAAAGTGCCACATATACACACAGGTAATCTTACTCAGATGTAAAGAAAAAAGAACTTATAATATTCACAGGAAAATGAATGGAACCAGAAATGATTATGCTCAATAAAATAAGTTAGGCTAAGACAAACATTGGATGTTTTCTC